CTTTATTGTGAGGTTACGCTAACAGAATCTTGCAAGACTGAAAGTATTTCTCCCCTCCTTTCCTTTTACTCTCTGGAAAGCTAGGGAGGGTCCCTTATGAAACATTTCCCATGCCATCCCCCCTTCTCTGGGCTGAGGTGTCTTTTACAGCTGGTTGTCCAGTCTGCAGCTCTCTCACCCAAGTTTATTCCCACATACCATTACACTACCAAATACACTGATGAAAATCTCAGCTACAGAGATGTTTTTGCACCTTGAATTTAGTCTCAAGCCTGCATTGTTGACTCTAAGGACTAAGGGTCTTAGAACAATCACCTGTAAGCTGCATTGATTGGTGCTGCAATTCCTAATGACAAATCTTAGAGGCTACTAAGAACGTGAAGGATTTTGCTTTTTATGCTTTTAATGCTAGGTTATAATATTCTGGGGTGGAGTTATGGGGTTATAATTTGTCATTTCAAGAGCAATGAGTGGTGAAAGTGGTCTATTAAAATGTTGAAAGCTGCATCTATATAAACTGGATCCACTTCAAAATACTGAAGGAAAAGAAAACAATCTGAATGGTTGCAGCCTGTTTCAGCATAAATTAGTATCTATTCAGTCCATGCTCCTCCATTTCAGCCTTAGAAAGCAAATCATAAATCGTGTTTACCACATGTTTAACTAGGGCACGCCAAGCCCTAGCAAGTGCATTCCCACAACATGTTAAGCTTGCTTAGAGTTAAGTTTGCTTTATTTTTTGTGGGTTAGTACGTTTTGGGAAACCAGCTTATTTTGTTAGTTCATGCTTTGGTATATTGCACAAACTTAGGCAACTGGTTAATTCAGCAACCAGGTCAAATGTATTGTATGAATACAGCCATTCCCCATTATTTCATTCCCAGATGAAAAGAAGGCGCTTTTGTGTATTTAGAACATGGCCTCTCTCCGTGCTGAAGACTATTGTCAGAAGAACATCCCACCTTCTATACAATAGAAGGCACTGGAGGCCCTTGCTCTGTAATATACCTACTGCAGTACTATCTCCTGTCCTCTGCTGGCTTCCGACGAAGCACGCTCTACTCGAGCAGATCAGTGCATACGTGCAGTATGCCTGCTGTAAGATAGCCCTGCCTATTTAGATTATTTTGCCCCATTTGTTGCAGGCACCTCCCACTTACTCAGAGTCAGATTGCCTCTTGGGTGAAATTAGGCTCACTTCTACCCCATAATAAAGCAGCCATTTGCAAGCGATATGGTTAGATTTGAGAGACGGCTACAATCAAACACATTTGCGGCCACATTCACCATGGCTGCCTGGTGGATGGCTGCAGTTGTCTCAGAGGTCAATACTAACAACACTGAAGGCAAAATAAGACAGAGAAAGGTAGAAAAGTGGAGAATATAAAGTTACAGTAACGTATGTTGTAGTATAACATAGCGTATAGTATAACAATTGCTGGATTGCTGCAGCTTTGCTCCTGCTGTTATGTTTTTAACAGACAGCAATGTAGTGGCTGAACTTTTTCCCACCCAGGGCAGAGAGGCTTCACCTCCTACGCTGCCGTGGGCCAGGCAGGCTCCTGCTCAAGTTATGCGCAAACAAGGTGCTAGTTCCAAAGTGCTCAGAAGTCCTAATTCAACACCTCCCACTTTAGCCAAAGACTGGCTCTACGGGTGGCCTCCGCTCCCTCCACCCTTTCGATCTGCACTCAGTAGATAATAATAATGGCTTGCTTTCTATGACTGTTATTGAAAGGATTGCTGAAGTAATCTGGATGAAGCACTTTGAACACTTGAAGGATCCGATACAAATGCTAAATTCGGTCGGTGCTCTTATTAATTGGCTAACAATCATGGTCCTGTGGCCAAACAGCTAATTTTTCCACCACTCTGCAGCAATTGAGTATTATTAAGGCATTCTATACCTACAAAATCCCCCTCAAAACCTGTTTGCCCCCATCTCAGCCTTTGGCAGAACCTCAGACTCCAGTTCCAACATTAATCCATGTAAAACCATATGCTAACTGCAACAGTTCTTGTTTCATTTCTCATGACCCTTCAGTTTTCTTGCCCTTCCCCTTTTGTGTTCTCCTTTCTTACAGAAAAGGAGTCAGTCTGTATTTACAAATGATATTTTGAAATGTGCCATATACTGTAGGTGTATGTTAAGCCAACAAAAATGGCAAGGGCCCATTTGGACAGATTTTTTTTTTAAGTGCCAGTATCAGTGGGATCAGATTTAAGGAGCATTCGCTGATCTTGAAAGTCAGGAGTGCTATTTCAGTAGATGAAGCTGAGATACCTAACATCAAAGGTGATGCCACCCAGAAAATGCTTGTGATTGGCATCCCCAAATTGTACCCGACAACATTTATAAGCAATGTATAGAGCATATTTAAAATATTCAAAGCATCTGAAAAGCAGCAGTAACAATTTATACAGCAACTTTAAAATACTCAAAGCACCTTATATACTTTATTTCAGTAATGAACTGGGCTGTAAATGGAACATCTGTTTTGGAAATGCCTTCTGGTTTAACGGATGTACTTTATAAAAAAAAAAAAAATAGGGAACTTGGGGCCTTCCAGTTATTGTAGGACTCCATCTCACGGTAGCCTCAACCAGACTGCCATAACCAGAGGTGACAAAAACAGTAAGCCACAAGTAGCTAGAGGACCCCAGGTCTCCGCCTCTGTAAGGAACTCCGAAAGTGTTTCAAAAGAAGTTGAGAAAAGAAAAATTATACGATTTCCAAATGTTAAAACAAACCCTACAACAAAGAGAGCAGATGCCTGTACTACTTATTACTGGGGGCAAAAGAAAGCATTGTTGGGCAAATTCTTTGCTGTAATGGTGAAGCTCTCCTTTCTCCACAATGGCTTAAGCACACGAACGTTTCCTCTGCTTGGAATCTAAAATCACCTTTAATATGGGGAGGCCAAAGTTTGAGGCCAATCACTCACTGTCTTTGCCCATCCTACCTCACAGGAGTGTTGTGAAGAAAAACAGGAAGAGTACTATGTGTGTCCTCTTGATATAAAAAGAGGGATCTAACTCTAACAAGCAAATAAAATCCTGACCAAGCTAAAACAGAATCCTAGAAGAGGGAGGTACTGTTGGGGCATAAGCACTTTGACTCCATTGCTACCTCTGGACAGAGTCAAACTCCTCCCAAAGGGACACATCTGCAACTTGGGGTCCTCCTCCACCTCCTTGATCAGCAGGTGGAGGTTGTGGTCCAGAGGAGTCTTTGTGAGCTTTAGCTGGTGTACCGATTCCATCCCTTTTTGGAGCAAGAAGCCACAGCAACAATGACTCATGCCTTCATCACCTTAAAGTCTGACTACTGGAACATGCTGTCCTCAAGTCTGCCTTTGAAGACTACCTGGAGACCTCAGTTGAAGGTGGCCCACCTGCTGGAGGGCGCAGAATGGACTGCTGAAGGATTCCCAGGTATAATTCAAGGGCTGATTTGAATTACATAATTCAAACTACATAATTTGGCTTGCCATTATCTTTGGAACCCCATTTTCTCTGAAGAGAATGTACATGTCCTGTGCATTCTATCCAGGAATGGATGCTTCAGGCATCCCTCCTCTGAGAAATGAAGGGGGTGGGACCCTGCAGATGGCCCTTCTCAGGGGCTGCCCTTTTGTCATGGAACAGCTTGCCTGAAGAGATCTAAACTGCCCCCACACTGTTGATTTTTAGGAAGGTGATGAAACGGATCTTGTTTCACTAGGTGTTCGAGGTTTGAGTGGTTCTTTGTGAGGCTACCTTTCTAATGGGTTACTTCGTTTTTACAACCTGATGTTTGTTATACTTAATTTTAATGGCATTGTATTTTAATTTTGATTGATATTTTTGAGTTTTAGTGGGATTAGGTATGCTGATTTTATTGTATGCTTTATGGCTTGTGAACCACCTTGAATCTTGTGATAGGGCAGGATATAAGTCTCTGAAATCGATCAATCAAGTGCTGTAGGAGACCATTTAGCTAGCATCATTGGAAAAAGTGTGGCTGAAAATTTGGGAGAGGGAGTTACAGGTGGGGATGGGAGCTTTCTGCTCTCTTCCCAACCTTTAAAGCCACCTCATATCCCAGAAAATGGGCCAAAATAGTCATGCCAATATTTAGTCATATTATTGCCAAATTTGACACCTCAGTGTGTTAGATGACTGTCTATGGCCTGCAGGCAACATTATGCTCACCTCTGCGTTAATAGGAATGACTTAGTTTATTAATACATCATAGTTTATTAAACTTGTAAGCTGCCCAATTCTCCATGACACCGGGCAACTCACAACAATCAAAGAAAGAAATTACAATAAAACGTAAAAAAATAAAGAAAAAAAGATGGCAAGCACAATGAAGTGAGAGGTTTCACTCTCCCTCACTGAAGGCCTAGGTGCAGAGCCAGGTCTTCATGGCTCTTCTAAACAACAGCAAAGTGGGGGCTTAATGAATTAATGAAGTTTGCATTTGTGTTATGTTTCTGCCATTTACATTTTCACAGATTAAGATCTGGAACAAACTAGTAGTAGCAAGACCATGCACTTATTCTTGGTAGTATCTGACCGTTGCTTCCAGGGGATTACCTTACCTTACTTCACTTTCCCTGTGAAATGAAAATGTGCATTTATTGGAAACTGCATCAAAAATGTGAGCCTCCAGG